GACTCCAATGCTTCCCACAGTTGTGTCAAGTTGGCTGGATGTCCTTTGGGTGGTGGACCATTCTTGATACACACGGGAAACTGTTGAGTGTGAAAAACCCAGCAGTGTTGCAGTTCTTGACACACTCAAACCGGTGCTCCTGGCGCCTACTACCATACCCGTTCAAAGGCACTTCAATCTTTTGTCTTGCCCATTTACCCTCTGAATGGCACACATACACAATCCATGTCTCAGTTGTCTCAAGGCTTAAAAATCCTTCTTTAACCTGTCTCCTCCACTTCATCTACACTGATTGAAGTGGATTGAACAAGTGACATCAATAAGGGATCATAGCTTTCACCTGGATTCCCCTGGTCAGTCTATGTCATGGAAAGAGCAGGTGTTCCTAATGTTTTGTACACTCAGTGTATTTTATATTTTATAGTAAGAACAGGCATATAATGAAAGATAACATATATTTTCCCCAAATAACCTTGTTGACTGTTGTGGGTTGCGCAAAGTGATATTCTGGGCTTATAAAACAAGCAAGAGCAGTGTGTGGGTTTCTCTTTACTTGAACTTATAGCACAGAGACATAGCTTATGAATGCATTTCTAACCGGTTATTTACATTTTAGTCATTTTAGCAGACGCTCTTATCCAGAGCGACTTACAGTTAGTGAATGCATACATTTTCATACTGGCCCCCCGTGGGAAAACGAACCCACATCCCTGCCGGCCAAACCCTCCCCTACCTTGGACGACGCTGGACCAATAGTGCGCCGCCCATGGGTCTCCCGGTCGCGACAGAGCCTGGACTCGAACCAGGATCTCTAGTGGCACAGCTAGCCTTAGACCACTGCGCCACTCAGGAGTTATAGGGTTAATGCAATTATCACAGCTGGTCTGGTGGTATTAAGTCCTTCCTCCCCGGTAATTTATCCGCTACTGAAGTTAACGAATTTCATCTTTGTGAGACGATTTGTTTACCAAGAAAAAATTAGAAAAAAGCCTAGAGGCCTATGACTTCTTAATCCGGCCCTGCAAATAGGTTTGGACTTTAACTGGGGTCAAATAGGTTTGGACTTTAACTGTGGTCAAATAGGTTTGGACTTTAACTGTGGTCAAATAGGTTTGGACATTAACTGTGGTCAAATAGGTTTGGACATTTGCTGTGGAAATAGGTTTGGACTTTAACTGTGGTCAAATAGGTTTGGACTTTAACTGTGGTCAAATAGGTTTGGACTTTAACTGTGGTCAAATAGGTTTGGACATTAACTGTGGTCAAATAGGTTTGGACATTTGCTGTGGAAATAGGTTTGGACTTTAACTGTGGTCAAATAGGTTTTGACTTTTACTGTGGTCAAATAGGTTTGGACATTTACTGTGGTCAAATAGATTTTGACTTTTACTGTGGTCAAAAAGATTTTGACTTTTACTGTGGTCAAATAGGTTTGGACTTTTACTGTGGTCAAATAGGTTTTGACTTTTACTGTGGTCAAAAATATTTTGACTTTTACTGTGGTCAAATAGGTTTGGACTTACTGTGGTCAAATAGATTTGGACATTTTCTGTGGTCAAATAGATTTGGACTTTTACTGTGGTCAAATAGATTTGGACTTTAACTGTGGTCAAATAGATTTGGACTTTTATTACTGTGGTCAAAGAGATTTGGACTTACTGTGGTCAAATAGTTTTGGACTTTTATTACTGTGGTCAAAGAGATTTGGACTTACTGTGGTCAAATAGATTTGGACTTTAACTGTGGTCAAATAGGTTTGGACATTTGCTGTGGAAATAGGTTTGGACTTTAACTGTGGTCAAATAGGTTTGGACTTTTACTGTGGTCAAATAGGTTTGGACTTTTACTGTGGTCAAATAGGTTTGGACTTTTACTGTGGTCAAATAGGTTTGGACTTTTACTGTGGTCAAATAGGTTTGGACTTTTACTGTGGTCAAATAGGTTTGGACTTACTGTGGTCAAATAGATTTTGACTTTTACTGTGGTCAAATAGATTTGGACTTTTACTGTGGTCAAATAGATTTGGACTTACTGTGGTCAAATAGATTTGGACTTTTACTGTGGTCAAATAGATTTGGACTTTTACTGTGGTCAAATAGATTTGGACTTTTATTACTGTGGTCAAAGAGATTTGGACTTACTGTGGTCAAATAGATTTGGACTTTTACTGTGGTCAAATAGATTTGGACTTTTACTGTGGTCAAATAGGTTTGGACTTACTGTGGTCAAATAGATTTAGACATTTTCTGTGGTCAAATAGATTTGGACTTTTACTGTGGTCAAATAGATTTGGACTTTAACTGTGGTCAAATAGATTTGGACTTTTATTACTGTGGTCAAAGAGATTTGGACTTACTGTGGTCAAATAGATTTGGACTTTTATTACTGTGGTCAAATAGGTTTGGACATTTTCTGTGGTCAAATAGATTTGGACTTTTACTGTGGTCAAATAGATTTGGACATTTGCTGTGGAAATAGGCTTGGACTTTAACTGTGGTCAAATAGGTTTGGACTTTTACTGTGGTCAAATAGGTTTGGACTTTTACTGTGGTCAAATAGATTTTGACTTTTACTGTGGTCAAAAAGATTTTGACTTTTACTGTGGTCAAATAGGTTTGGACTTTTACTGTGGTCAAATAGGTTTGGACTTTTACTGTGGTCAAATAGGTTTGGACTTACTGTGGTCAAATAGATTTGGACATTTTCTGTGGTCAAATAGATTTGGACTTTTACTGTGGTCAAATAGATTTGGACTTTAACTGTGGTCAAATAGATTTGGACTTTTATTACTGTGGTCAAAGAGATTTGGACTTTAACTGTGGTCAAATAGATTTGGACTTTTATTACTGTGGTCAAATAGATTTGGACTTACTGTGGTCAAATAGATTTGGACTTTTACTGTGGTGAAATAGATTTGAACTTTAACTGTGGTCAAATAGGTTTGGACTTTTACTGTGGTCAAATAGATTTGGACTTTTACTGTGGTCAAATAGATTTGAACTTTTACTGTGGTCAAATAGATTTAGACTTTTACTGTGGTCAAATAGATTTTGACTTACTGTGGTCTTACTTATTTGGACTTACTTACCTGGACACTATATGGTACAAATATAGCACTCTACAGGAAAAACGATTACAAAAATTACAAATAATTAACGATTTGACCTCTCTCTTTGTTTGCTTCATACCAGACTGGCACTCTTGGCCAATGATGGCAGTGACTCTTGGCTTGTCCAATGATGGCAGTGACTCTTGGCTTGGCCAATGATGGCAGTGACTCTTGGCTTGTCCAATGATGGCAGTGATTCTTGGCTTGTCCAATGATGGCAGTGACTCTTGGCTTGGCCAATGATGGCAGTGACTCTTGGCTTGTCCAATGATGGCAGTGGCTCTTGGCTTGTCCAATGATGGCAGTGACTCTTGGCTTGGCCAATGATGGCAGTGACTCTTGGCTTGGCCAATGATGGCAGTGACTCTTGGCTTGTCCAATGATGGCAGTGACTCTTGGCTTGTCCAATGATGGCAGTTACTCTTGGCTTGTCCAATGATGGCAGTGACTCTTGGCTTGTCCAATGATGGCAGTGACTCTTGGCTTGTCCAATGATGGCAGTGACTCTTGGCTTGTCCAATGATGGCAGTGACTCTTGGCTTGGCCAATGATGGCAGTGACTCTTGGCTTCGCCAATGATGGCAGTGATTCTTGGCTTGCCCAATAATGGCAGTGACAGATAATCCAACTATTAGCATATGATTAGGTGAGAAGCTAACTGCTTAAGAGAAACAATGAAAACAGTGTGATCAGTAGATGAAGTGTTAACTGACTGGCATTCCTGTAAAAGACCCACGTTATCCTAATGATGATGATGATGATGAGCAGGCAGCAGACTTTACACATTTAAATCAGTCAGCCTTACGTGCTACAACGTGCATCAGGCCAAGTGTTTTGGCTAGACAAATAAAATATATATTTTTGAGGCAGTATCCTAGTAAGATCATGTTGCTACAGGTTACTATCACCCCAATTACAGATATTTTTTTCTTTAAATGACATGGAAACAATCAGTGGCGACCCGTCATTCAAATCTTTTTTTGTTGTTGCCTGTTTTGCATGTTATTTTGCCATTAATACGTGTCACATATCAGTTTGCAAACAATGTAAAAAATAATCGAACAATCATTGAGTTAATAAAGCCGCCGTACAAACATGGTCTCTTTTTTGCTTTCTTGAGTAAGGCAGCTCCAAAATGCAGGTGTTTCAGCCTAGCTCAGTGCTTTCTGTGGCGGTGGGGCAGCCAGCGGAAAATACGGAGCGTAGGGGTTGGTAATGTTCTCTAGTTGCGCCGTGATTGGCTCAGTGTTCTGTCACCGCAAAATCTAAGGGTAGAGCTTGAAAATTCAAGCCCCTTGGCTGCTGCCATAGAGTTACATTAGAAGTGCCCATCCAAGAAGGCTCAAGGTCATTGGCCACAGATAAAATGACGTCAAATCATGTTATATCTACAGTAGCTTTGATTGGACTGATCATGTCAACATCATACTTTCAAAATCTAGCAGTCATGATCATGAATCAAGTCGACAATCTACTGGCAAATCCTTTTCAATCCTTGTCATATGAAGAGAAATAATGAAGAGAAATTATAGATAAAATGTATCGGTGCTCGTCGGCCATTGGACATGAACTTTACACAAGAAGTTGGAAATCACAAATTCAACAATGAGTGGTTTGGAAGGAATCAGTGGCTAACTAACTAAATGATAGGTCTACTCTACACAAACAAAACAAATTGTAGACTTTTTTTTTTTTTGCAATCACATAATATCTCATATAAATACTTTTAATTATTCTTTGTATGATAACTAGTATAAAATATATCGATAATTGTGCACATTTTCCATCATTTTCAGCTTAATCGTTCATTTACAAAGTATATTGGACGGGACTCTTATTCTGAAGGATTCCAAAAATCCGTGACCCGGAAGTACTTAGTTATTCTTGCCTACTTCACAGCGGTAAGTCGTAGGTTAAGAACGAGATGTAAATAAGCGGATCTAACGGTCTAGATAACCGCAGACCTCTTTATTTACTAGACAACAACAACAGTTAGTCAGAATGGTTTTGTTTACTTGTCTAACGGTGTTTTTGCTGAGCGCGTTGGTCGAGGGAGCAGAGAAGAAAGAGGGAGATGACGAGTGGGTTCATCTGCCTAATAAATGTGAAGGTAGGAAGAACAGGAACGATGCTATTCATTCACCCCCCATTTGGAAACCCAAAATAGAGAGAGCTGGTATTTTATTGTCTAAAACGAGTTGTATTATGTCTGAAATGTAGGCATACAAATACCCTGATAGCCTTTCAGTCTTTTCCCGAGAAGAACAGACACAATACTATTAATTCGTTACATTTTTTAAAACTATAAAAAAAAAAATATATATAAGCTTATTTAATTCATTTTCATTCATTCTATTAGCCAGAACGAGTTGCATTATGTCATTTGTTACCCCTGATAAACGGATAGTAGTAGTCTTTGCCCGTTGTATTGTAGCAGTGTGCGTGCGTGATGCAGAAGTGAAACCATACCGTTTACTACTTCCTCCTTTTAGACACCTGATACTACAGGAAATAACGATTTATACTCAAAGGGCTTTATTGGCATGGGAAACATGTTAACATTGGCAACGCAAGTGAAATAGATCAAACAACAGTGAAATAAACAATAGAACATGTACAGTAATCATTACACTCACAAAAGTTCCAAAGGAATAGAGACATTTCAAATATCATATTATGTCTACAGTGAGGGGAAAAAAGTATTTGATCCCCTGCTGATTTTGTACGTTTGCCCACTGACAAAGAAATGATCAGTCTATAATTTTAATGGTAGGTTTATTTGAACAGTGAGAGACAGAATAATAACAAAAAAAACGCATGTCAAAAATGTTATAAATTGATTTGCATTTTAATGAGGGAAATAAGTATTTGACCCCTCTGCAAAACATGACTTAGTACTTGGTGGCAAAACCCTTGTTGGCAATCACATACGTTTCTTGTATTGTAGTTGGCCACCAGGTTTGCACACATCTCAGGAGGGATTTTGTCCCACTCCTCTTTGCAGATCTTCTCCAAGTCATTAAGGATGCGAGGCTGACGTTTGGCAACTCAAACCTTCAGCTCCCTCCACAGATTTTCTATGGGATTAAGGTCTGGAGACTGGCTAGGCCACTCCAGGACCTTAATGTGCTTCTTCTTGAGCCACTCCTTTGTTGCCTTGGCCGTGTGTTTTGGGTCATTGTCATGCTGGAATACCCATCCACGACCCATTTTCAATGCCCTGGCTGAGGGAAGGAGGTTCTCACCCAAGATTTGACGGTACATGGCCCCGTCCATCGTCCCTTTGATGCGGTGAAGTTGTCCTGTCCCCTTAGCAGAAAAACACCCCCAAAGCATAATGTTTCCACCTCCATGTTTGACGGTGGGGATGGTATTCTTGGGGTCATAGGCAGCATTCCTCCTCCTCCAAACACGGCGAGTTGAGTTGATGCCAAAGAGCTCCATTTTGGTCTCATCTAACCACAACACTTTCACCCAGTTCTCCTCTGAATCATTCAGATGTTCATTGGCAAACTTCAGACGGCCCTGTATATGTACTTTCTTGAGCAGGGGGACCTTGCGGGCGTTGCAGGATTTCAGTCCTTCACAGCGTAGTGTGTTACCAATTGTTTTCTTGGTGACTATGGTCCCAGCTGGCTTGAGATCATTGACAAGATCCTCCCGTGTAGTTCTGGGCTGATTCCTCACCGTTCTCCTGATCATTGCAACTCCCGAGGTGAGATCTTGCATGGAGCCCCAGGCCGAGGGAGATTGACAGTTCTTTTGTGTTTTTCCATTTGCAAATAATCGCACCAACTGTTGTCACCTTCTCACCAAGCTGCTTGACGATGGTCTTGTAGCCCATTCCAGCCTTGTGTAGGTCTACAATCTTGTCCCTGACATCCTTGGAGAGGTCTTTGGTCTTGGCCATGGTGGAGAGTTTGGATTCTGATTGATTGATTGCTTCTGTGGACAGGTGTCTTTTATACAGGTAACAAGCTGAGATTAGGAGCACTCCCTTTAAGAGTGTGCTGCTAATCTCAGCTCGTTACCTGTATAAAAGACACCTGGGAGCCAGAAATCTTTCTGATTGAGAGGGGGTCAAATACTTATTTCCCTCATTAAAATGCAAATCAATTTATAACATTTTTTACATGTGTTTTTCTGGATTTTTGTTGTTGTTATTCTGTCTCTCACTGTTCAAATAAACCTACCATTAAAATGATAGACTGATCATTTCTTTGTCAGTGGGCAAACGTACAAAATCAGCAGGGGATCAAATACTTTTTCCCTCACTGTATATACTGTCTCTGTCCATCTCTCTGTCTCTCTCTCTCTCCTCTCAGTGTGTAAGTTCGTCAGTATTGAGATGAAGTCTGCCTTCGAGGAGACGGGCAACACCAAGGAATTGATCAAGAGGAACTACCGTTTCCTTGACGACAACAAGGGAGCTCCGCCAATCAAATATGTCAAGTCGTAAGTGACGTTTATCACACATTTACAGCTTGATGTCATAGAACGTGAAATGACTCTGAATAGATCTTCTCTTGCTGAATGCAGTAGTGTGTCCCATAGGGCTCCTGTCAAAAGCAGTGCACTGTATTTATTATTATTATTATTTTTATTTTTTTTGTCATTTAGCAGACGCTCTTATCCAGAGCGACTTACATGAGCAATTAGGGTTAAGTGCCTTGCTTAAGGGCACATCGACAGATTTTTTCAACCTAGTCGGCTCGGGGATTAGAACCAGCGACCTTTCGGTTACTGGCACAACGCTCTTACCCACTAAGCCACCTGGAAATAGGATGCAATTTATCTTATATAGAATGGAGTTGCCCCTAGACTGCTCCTAGATCAGTTTGATGTCTTCCCCACTTAATGATAAAGGTCAGGGACTGGTGAGGTTAAACTGGTCCTAGATCTGGGCCTCACTTCTGCCTACATCCTATGTTCACTAGCTTTTGAGCCTTTCACTGTAGAAGTACTTGACTTGAGCGAGCGGTATCTATTTCCTCTCTGTGCCGTTTCTGTGGAGATAACAGGGCTGCCATGGTAGCAGGGGACAGGAACTTGGTCTGGGTCCCTTCCTGTGGGAGGCGGCCTAGGCTTTATAAATAGGAAGGTCTGTCATTATGTGACGGGAGGTTGAGTCATGACTTGTGAACACTAGAAGAAAGGCTAAATTACTAAATTAAACAGAGGATCATTTTTTTTCAAACAAGCCTGCTTCGATCTGTCTCCCGTCCTCCATCTGTCAATCTTTCTCTGTACCCCCTCCCCTCCCCTCCCCTCCCCTCCCCTCCCCTCTCCCTCCTCCCTCTCTTTCTCCCTCACTCTTTTTCTTGGCCTCCTCCTTTCTCTCATTTTATCTCTCTCCCCCCTCCCTCTCTCTCCCCCCTCCTTCTCTCCCCCCCTCCTTCTCTCCCCCGCCTCCTTCTCTCCCCCGCCTCCTTCTCTGCCCCGCCTCCTTCTCTCCCACCTCCCTCTCCCCCCTCCCTCTCTGTCTCTGTCTCTGTCTCTCTCTGTCTCTCTCTATAGAGATATCCGTTTCATTGAGGTTGTGGAGAATGTGTGTCAGAGGCTCTCTGGCTACAACCTACACAAGGAGAGGGAGGGCAGCAACCGCTTTGCCAAGGTCAGTACGTGTGTGTGTGTGTGTGTGTGTGTGTGTGTGTGTGTGTGTGTGTGTGTGTGTGTCAGAGGCTCTCTGAGTAAAGACAAGGACACACACATGTAATAACACACATCAATAGTTGTGTAACTAGACACAGATCATCTTTCCCTCTCTTTCTGCCTCCCTCCTCTCTCCCTCCTCTCCTTCTCTCCACCCCCCCTCTCTCCCCCCTCTCTCTCTCCCCCCTCTCTCAACCCCTCCTCTCTCTTCCCCCTCTCTCTCTCCACCCCCTCTCTATCTACCCTCTCTATCTCCCCCTCCCCCCTCTCCTCCCTCTCATCTCTCTCCCCAGGGTATGTCAGAGACCTTCTCTACCCTCCATGGTCTGGTCCATAAGGGGGTAAAGGTCGTCATGGATATCCCCTATGAACTTTGGAACGAAACCTCCGCAGAGGTCGCTGACCTCAAGAAACAGGTGAGGATTAATTGACCAATTTTAATTAATCAATTTATTAAAAATGGTATTCCCAAACATATCAACTGTCTTCTGTTTACTTTTCAAATGTTGGTGTGTGTGTGTGTGTGTGTCTCACCCTGTGTGTGTGTGTGTGTCTCTCTGTCTCAGTGTGATGTGATGGTAGAGAAGTATGAGGAGGTTATTGAGGACTGGTACAAAGGCAGTCAGGAGGAAGACCTCACCACGTACCTCTGTGAGAAACACGTTCTGAAGGGACAGGACACCGGTAATACACACACTCACAGAGACACATTTAGCACACTTACATAGACACACACACACTAACTTATTTGATGGTTTTGAATGTCTTAGTTATTAGAATGCTGGTTTAATTACTCTTGTTCTCTCCCTCCCACCCTCTTCCTCTCTCCTCCTCTCCCATCACCTTCCTCCTCTCCTCCTCTCTCCTCCTCTCTCCTCATCTCTTCCTTCTCTCTCCTCTCTCCTCCTCTCTCCTCCTCTTCCTCCTCTCTCCTCCTCTCCCTCCTCCTCTCTTTCCTCCTCTTCCTCCTCCTCTCTCCTCCTCTCTCCTCTCCTCCTTTCCTCCTCTCTCCTGTATCCTCCTCTCTTTCCTTCTCTCTCCTCCTCCTTTTCCTCCTCCTCTTCCTCCTTTCTCCTCTTCCTCTTCCTCCTCCTCCTCCTCCTCCAGCCTGTCTGAAAGAGGAGTACTCCAAGAAGAAGGGAGACGCGGCAGCCATCGCTGAGGACAGGAAGAAGAAAAATAAGAAGGGAGGAGGAAAGACGAAGAGCAAAGACCTGGGAGGAGGAGGAGGAGGAGGAGGGAGTGAGGGTGGCAGGCAGGAAGGAGAGAAGACGATGAAGAAGAAGAAGAAAGAGAAGGTGAAGAAGAAGAAGAAGAAGAAGGTGAAGGCTGAGAAGGAGAGAGTGGAGAGGGAGGAGAGGGAGGGGGTCTCATCAGACGAAGACATCCAGAAAAGGGTGGCTCTGCCTGGGAAGAACACAGAGCTGTGAGACCCTGGAGGAATGGAGCCCTGGGGGTGAGTCCCAAATGGCACCCTATTCCCTACATAGCGCACTACTTTTGACCAGAGCCCTATTAGTCCTGGTCAAAAGTAGTGCACTACATAGGGAATAGGGTGCCATTTTGGATGCATTCCTAGAACCAGGGGACTGATCGGGAGGTATCTTTCTCTCTTCTCTCTTTTCCTCTCATTTTTTCCATTGATTATGTGATTTGATCCCCCAGAACCCCTTGCTCTTGGTAGTCAGATCTGGATGGTTGTATTGACAATACTACTGAATCTATGGTCTCATATGTGAAGTGTTTGTGTGTGTGCGTGCAGGTTGTGTGTGTGTGTGTGTGTGTGTGTGTGTGTGTGTGTGTGTGTGTGTGTGTGTGCGTGCAGGTTGTGTGTGTGTGTGTGTGTGTGTGTGTGTGTGTGTGTGTGTGTGTGTGTGTGTGTGTGTGTGCTGTTCTGACACATTCTTGTTGCTTTTAAATGTATTTTTGCTACGTACTTTGGTTACATGTGTTCAACTGATTTTTTGGGTAGGAATAATAATATTTAAATAGAAAATGTATTTTAACGGGGCGGACCATGGCCTCTATCGACAAGCTCTCGACTGAAATAAGGAGTTTTATTTGAATTTTTACAGACAACCGGTCATGAAGTGAAGCAACATATTGGTATCTTTTTGCTTTTCAATATAAATATACTGTATATCAAACAGAATGTATTGTTCAGTGAGACGGTGGAATTATTTTCTATTTTCAATATAGAATTATCCTTATCATTTATAGAATAACCCTTATCATTTATAGAGTAAACCTTATCATTTATAGAGTAAATCTTATCATTTATTTGAGCCTCATTGTCTTTTTTTTTCTTGTTGTAGTAGACTGCTGTATTTCTGTTTCTGTACTTTTGTTTTGTTTAAGATTGTTGTTGTTCTCGGTCAGTGACTCAGCTGAGAGTATTTATACTGAACAAAAATATAAATGCAACATACAACAATTTAAAAGATTTTTACTGAGTTACAGTTCATATAAGGAAATCAGTCAATTGAAATAAAGTCATTAGGCCCTATTAATCTATGGATTTCACATGACTGGGAAGGGGCGGGGCCAATGGGTGGGCCTGGGAGGGCATAGACCCACCCACCGGGGAGCCAGGCCCAGCCAATCAGAATGAATTTTTCCCCACAAAAGGGGCTTTATTACGGACAGAAACACTCCTCAGTTTCATCAGCTGTCCGGGTGGCTGGTCTCAGACGATCCCGCAGGTGAAGAAGCCGGATGTGGAGGTCCTGGGCTGGCGTGGTTACACGTGGTCTGCGGTTGTACATACTGCCAAATTCTCTAAAACGACGTTGGAGGCGGCTTATGGTAGAGAAATGAACATTCAATTCTCTGGCAACAGCTCTGGTGGACATTCCTGCAGTCAGCATGCCAATTGCACGCTCCCTCAAAACATGAGACATCTGTGGCATTGTGTTGTGTGACAAAACTCTGCACGTTTTAGAGTGGCCTTTTATTGTCCCCAGCACAAGGTGCATCTGTGTAATGATCATGCTGTTTAATCAGCTTCTTGATATGCCAACACCTGTCAGGTGGATGGATTATCTTGGCAAAGGAGAAATGCTCACTAACAGGGATGTAAACAAATTTGTGCACAAAATTTGATCGATATAAGCTTTTTGTGCATTTGGACAATTTCTGGGATCTTTTATTTCAGCACATGAAACATGGGACCAACACTTTACGTGTTGCCTTTATAGTTTTGTTCAGTATATATACTGCTTACTGTAGGTGTTAGTTAAATTGAGGTGTGCGAGAGAGAGTGCCTGTATGTGTATGTTTTTAAGACCAAATGTTACCAGGATTGTTGACTGAGGGAAAGATGCTGGCTGTGGGTGAATCCCCAGAAACAACAAGGTGTGTCAATAAAATCACTGCTGTTGAAATCCTGTCTTTGAGCTGTGAGTTTATCTCCCGTCAGCTGATTTCAAAGAAGAAGAAAAAAAGAAAAATGTAAGCACTCACTTAACTGTAAATCGTTCTGGATAAGAGCGTCTGCTAAAATGTAAATATGTAAATATGTAAATGGATGACATCTTTCTGTTGTTGCAGCTCCATGTGTTTTATAACCATTTAATGAGATTGATTGATTGATTGATTGATTGAAATTGATTGATTGATTGAAATTGATTGATTGATTGATTGATTGATTGAAATTGATTGATTGGGCAATTGATGGTTTTTCTTTTGAATCATCTGACCTGTTGGGGGGTTCAAATATGGGTACCTCCGACTGCTGTCAACAGAGACATTTGCCATAACTGCAGGCAACAGAGATATGGCATGTCTCGGCCTAACCCTTACCCATGCTACAGTACCACAGTAATAATAACCATATCGCCTGTATTTACCCCCCCCCCCCTGCTAATTAGCTGCTAATATGACTATCATAAAGAACTACAAATGCCATGATGATCTGGACGAGACTTTGGGAAGAAATAACACCATTCTCCAAACACTGTCATTTACAAATTGATATGAGCTAGGTAAAAATGGGTAATCCGTTTGGATAAGGGAATTGTAAATATAAATGACACTTGTTTTTAGATCTATTTGACCTTATTATCGCTGGAGACAAATGTGAAACCAGTCATGTGGCAGCAAACTGAAACATATCAACATATCACTTTTTTCCCCACAGTAGAGTTTATGACATGCTGTGCCATTATGCAGAATTTAAAATTGTACAGACTTTTAAACTTGCAGGGATGGGTACTCTCGAATGGCTTAATTATAGGCTACCCCGACTTCCTCCGTTTCCTCTTTCTGTCATGTTTAAATATTATCCACTGTCTGTATAGACCGTCAGTAGGCCTAATAACCACACATATTCAACTGCCAATTTACTGATAGTTCCCTTCAGTTGGATGTTTTTTTTGAATGAATCAAACCACCGTTTTCTTTCTTCTGTGTCCAAAGCGGTTTTTTATTGATTCATAAATACTTTCCTAAACCTAAATAATCTACATGATCGGAGTATTTTTTTTAAATCTATCAATTGGTGTTGAAACTGAGATAAATATGCGTATACAGTTGAAGTCATTAGTTTACATAAACTCGTTTTTCAACCACTCCACAAATTTCTTGTTAACAAAATATAGTTTTGGCAAGTCGGTTAGGACATCTACTTTGTGATTGACACAAGTAATTTTTCCAACAATTGTTTACAGACAGATTATTCACTTAAAATTCACTGTATCACAATTCCAGTGGGTCAGAAGTTTACATACACTAAGTTGACTGTGCCTTTAAACAGTTAGGAAAATTCCAGAAAATGATGTCATGGCTTTAGAAGCTTCTGATAGGCTAATTGACATCATTTGAGTCAATTGGAGGTGTACCTGTGGATGTATTTCAAGGCCTTCCTTCAAACTCAGTGCCTCAATGCTTGACATCAGGGGAAATGAAAAGAAATCAGCCAAGACCTCAGAAAAAAAATTGTAGACCTGCACAAGTCTGGTTCATCCTTGGGAGCAATTTCCAAACGCCTGAAGGTACCACGTTCATCTGTACAAACAATAGTACGCAAGTATAAACACCATGGGACCATGCAGCCGTCATACCGCTCAGGAAGGAGACACGTTCTGTCTCCTAGAGATGAACGTACTTTGGTGCGAAAAAGTGCAAAACAATCCCAGAACAACAGCAAAGGACTTTGTGAAGATGCTGGAGGAAACCGGTACAAAAGTACCTATATCCACAGTAAAACGAGTCCTATATCGACATAACCTGAAAGGCCACTCAGCAAGGAAGAAGCCACTGCTCCAAAACCGCCATAAAAAAGCCAGACTACGGTTTGCAACTGCAAATGGGGACAAAGATCGTACTTTTTTGAGAAATGTCCTCTGGTCTAATGAAACAAAAATAGAACTGTTTGGCCATAATGACCATCGTTATGTTTGGAGGAAAAAGGGGCAGGCTTGCAAGCCGAAGAACACCATCCCAACCATGAACCACTGGGGTGGCAGCATCATGCTGTGGGGGTGCTTTGCTGCAGGAGGGACTGGTGCACTTCACAAAATAGATGGCATCATGAGGAAGGAAAATTATGTGGATATATTGAAGCAACATCTCAAGACATCAGTCAGGAAGTTAAAGCTTGGTCGCAAATGGGTCTTCCAAATGGACAATGACCCCAAGCATACTTCCAAAGTTGTGGCAAAATGGCTTAAGGACAACAAAGTCAAGGTATTGGAGTGACCATCACAAAGCCCTGACCTCAATCCTATAG